AGCTTGAGAAATCCATTAATGGATTGAAACAAGCGTCTTGCAGATGGAAACAAGCGTCTCGCAGACATACTGCTCATAGGAAACGACGTCCTAACCTTGCAGGAGGTTAAGTCCTGGTTTAGGAAGTGCTTCGCTATGAAGGATCTCGGAGAAGCTGCTTATATTCTTGGGATAAGGATTTTGATAAATAGGAGTAAAAGACTAATAGGACTTAGTCAAAGTACTTACTTGGATAAAGTGTTAAAACGTTTTAGCATGGAGAATTCCAAGAAAGGGGAGTTACCAATCCAAAGCAATACCAAGTTGATTAAGACTCAAAGCCCGAGTACCGATGCCGAGATAGCAGAGATGAGCAGAGTACCTTATGCTTCAGCAGTTGGCTCAATTATGTATGTTATGACATGTACTCGCCCTGATGTGGCCTTCGCTTTGAGCATGGTCAGCAGATATCAAGGGAACCCTGGTAGAGCACATTGGACCGCAGTAAAGAATATTCTCAAGTACCTTCGGATGACTAAGGAATGGTTTCTTATCCTCGGTGGGAGTGATGACCTGGGAGTGTGAGGGTATAGTGACGCTAGCTTTCAGACTGACCGGGATAATTTTTGCTCGCAGTCAGGCTGGGTCTTTACCCTGAATGGAGGAGCAGTGACTTGGAAAAGTTCCAAGCAGGAGACCGTAGTTGATTCAACGTGATAGCAGCAAGCGAAGCGTCAAAGGAGGCAATATGGATTAATAACTTCATTGGAGATCTTGGAGTTGTACCGGCCATAAAGGAGCCTATGGAGATTTTTTGCGATATCGAAGGTACGGTTGCCTTAACCAAGGAACCGATGGATCATGGCAAATCCAGGCATATTGACAGGAAAGATCATTTCATTAGACATCGGGTAGAAGAGGGACTCCTCGTAGTGAAGAGGGTATTGTCAGAAGAGAACCCAACAGAGCCCCTTACGAAGGGACTGAGTAGGGTTAAGCACTTGCAGCACGCTAGGAGCATTGGGCTGAATGACGATATTAGTTTTAGTAATTAGATAGCCTTAGAAACTTGTAATAGATAAATTGTAATTGACATTTTTGATGACTAAATAAAGGTGTATTATTTATAAGTAATGTTACTGTCTTATGTCAATTATTTACTATTGTTTCACTTTTCATGTTTTGACTTCCTAAATAATAAGATTATTTAAACTATCCACAGTCGAACACACTTTGGAAGTAGGTATGAAAGAAGACTGTCATGAAATGCCTTGCAGATTGTCTAAGCGTTTAGACATAGCAAAGGTTTGTTGCGACGTTCATGAGTGCTCTTGAAATATGATTTGAGTATTGGATTAAACCCGCACTCACATGAATCACTTCATGGAATTTAATCACAAGTGATTGTGAGATGATAATATCATATAGTCTTTAAACCTAGATATATGAGATGTTGTTTACGAGTCGGTTACACATTGATAATGCGTAAACGCAACAGTAACTTGATGTTATAAAACGCATTGTTGTGTACGATTTGATGAGTAAATAGTACAAGCATATAAGTCGAAGTTTATCTGTTCCTTTTATCCTATGAGGCTAAAAGCGATATCTTGGGTCCCTCGATGATTTGGTTTGACTTATGTGTCGGGCCTAGTCAGGACTAAGTTGATGTGTTAAATTAAGTTCTATGTCAGACGAATCAGAGATCGAGAAACAAACTGCTGGACGATAAGTATGACTATGTTCCACGTAATTGTCCACACGATATTTTGATAACGGAGGACTATACGATCCCTTATATAAAGGACGTGTCAGATTTCGACAGCGGCTTTTGATAGCTACGATTGCTAATCGGATCTTGAAGTCGTACTTGCATTTATAGTTATTAGACTTATCCAAGTAGGAGACTGTTGGATTAGTGTCTAAGCCCATAACTATTTTTGGTATGTAATTGACCCGGTTGTAGCATGGTCCTTTTGGGTTGCCTTCACCGGAGCAACTTGATTGGATGAATAATAGAGAAAGAGGTTATTATGGTTTATTAATATATTATATGAATAATATATTAAAAGAGAAATCATATTATTTAATTAACATTGGTCAAGAATTAATTTAGAATTAATTTTGTGGTCGAAAGAGGTTAATTGAATTATTATATTATATGAATAATATATTAAAGGAGAAATCATATTATTTAATTAACATTTGTCAAGAATTAATTTAGAATTAATTTTGTGGTCCAAAGAGGTTAATTGAATTAAGGGGACTGAACTTGTAATTATTGGATAGTTTCAATATGGACTGAGGAACCCTGAATAAGGGTTGGACGATTTCATGGAGAAGCCCATGTTGAAATCGTCCAAGGGGCTTGATTTTGGAAGATTCTTATAGGCTGCTTAGAGCCTAAGCAACCGGATAAGCATTTGACTAAAACCCTAATTCCTCACCTATATAAAGAGTCCCTAGGCTTCATGGTTTCGGCTAACACAACCCTAAGAAGAGTTCAAGAGCCGATTTGTAGCCTTCCCCTCTCTCTCTCCATTATTCTCCAACTTGCTTTGGTGTTTATGATCTATTAGAGGCACAACATTTGAGGTGCTAAGGTTCTCAAAAGCTCGAGATCTTCAAGAAACAATCAAGGTAACTTTCTAACTTGTTTATTAGATGTTCAATTCGTTTTGTTGTATGCTAGATTAGGGTTTTGCAAGTCTTGGACAATTGTTGCATGTACAAATAGAAAAACTAGATCCAAGCATTAGGGTTTGCATGAACACCATAAGAATGTTGTTTTGCTCATAAACCAACAGTTATGAGGAATGAGACTAAAACCCATAGATCAATAAGTTATTATGAAGGAAAACCCAACCTAGTTAACTGGATATCCCAAGATCTAGGTTCAATGGGACAACCTACTTGCATATAACATTTGTAAATCACTGTAGGGGTCAACCCCAACCCATTCCTAAAACAAACAGTGATGCAGGTTAAACTTATAGTCGTGGATGATAAATCGGAAATAATTACAAATTAGATTTTAATGATTGTTATAGAATCACCTATGTGAGAGAGAAGTGGGGTCGTTTCAAAAGGAATCATATGGGCAGATTCCTAAGAGCTCTTATAGAACCAGACAAGTGTCCATGATCATAACGGACACATCAATGAGAACCTAACTAGGTCAGGGAGAATCATGTGAGACACATATTGATTATTTACACAAACGATAGAACAGTTCAAGGACATCGAGTCTACTAGTCAGCTAGTAAAATGAATATTTATCTTAAGGGAAGGTTCAAAGGGTAACACCTATCTATCCTATGTATGATTCAACTGCTAGATTTTATCTAAGTAGCATGAAAATGTTTGATCAAGTTCAATTCATGTGGGGTATTGTTGGAAAAATAATTGGTAAATTGAAACTAATCACCAAAGTTGAGAGGTTGAATGGAATATAATCGAAAATTGATGTTCAATTTTCGGTTACAACTCGTAATTAAGAACGATATGAAGGACAATGTGTTAAACACATGCTTTAGTTTTTTTTTTGTTTTTTTTTCTGTTTTCTTGTTTGTTTTCATACATTACCGTAATATTATTTCTACACGTATGCTATTTTCAGCTAGTCGACTGTCCCGCAGACTTGACTAATCGACATCAGCTAAGTTTGATTTCTCCCACATTAACTTCAGTTGAATTTAATTTTTAAATGGTAATCTTTCATGGTTCTGAGTTCTGGTATTGAATCTGAATGCTTAAGTTCGATTTATTTTAGTTTTAATTGGAATAGACAAATATATTGAATGTATTGTTTCAAGCCTTATATTGAAATTATGCAACTATTCCATAACTATCCCTAACTATGTAATTATGTTGTCACGATCCCCTAAAGCTTGATATTGAAACCCAGAACACTGAATTCGTACTTGGAATTAAGGGATAATGACTTGAAAGGGTAATGGACTTTCGACTTTGCTCATATTTAGTCACTAAATTTTTTTTTATTATCTATTTGTCACTGAACTATTAAAAATGTTCACATTTTACCCTTATGACCGGTTGTTACCGGTAATAAGGGAAAAATGTGAGCAATTTCAATAGTTCAGTGACAAATAGATAATGAAAAAAAGTTTAGTGATTAAATATGAAAAAAGTCAAAAGTTCATTCCTCTTTCAAGTCATTATCCCTGGAATTAACAAATGTATTTATGTATAGTGTTTCTGTTTTTTCGGAAAGCAATTTTTTAAAACATTTTGTAATGAACTAATGTACAATATTTATGGTTTTATGTCTCTGGAAACCGAGTTGACCCACTACACTGGATTAACAAAAATATCTGAATTTTAAAAATAAAAAACAAATGTTTAAAAAAATTTTGATCGTTACTTAATAATGTAAGACTCATAACCATATGCAATATAATAAATTTACGAAATTTAGGACAGCAATATAAAATTTTTAATGGATCAATCCAGACCAACATCTTTAGTTTGGTTATCACCTTCAATCTGTAGTTAAAAATGTTCATCCTATGTGCTCATTTAATATTCAGTATAACATATTTAATACAAAAAATTATCTAATTTTACAATTTTATTCAAATATTTCACAATATGATTTTTTTTTTAAACTTAATTGTTAAAAAAAGTATGTAAATTGTTCCATAACATGATAGAAGTATCTTACACTTTTCTATACTTCACTACCTTATATGAACTTTGCCATTTATTATAATCTCAACTCCTTTTAATTTTTACCCCTATTAGTTTAACCAATAAACAGAATACATTTATGCTTAAAATGTTATCCAGATCAGATGTATACACAAGTCTCAATGCACATTAAACCCATTTGTTTATTTTGTCATAAAAGGTCTGAATTTCACAGAGCATATTGGTTTGTGAATTTGTAGTCTAATTAAGTTCTTAATGTGAGCTGTGTGCGCCTGTGTCCTTCATTATTTTACTTATTAACTACCCCTCACATGGCCTCCCCTCTTCTTGTCATAAATCTCACTTAATATTCTCTCTCTCTCTCTCTCTCTCTCTCTCTCTAGAAGCAAGAACAAGCATGCTGGATTGCTACAGTAAATCGCCATAATCGCCATGGTCAAACTCCATTTATGCCTTTCGATTCTTGTGTTGTTTCTTGTTAATCGATCATTTGGGTTAACTACAGATGGGGTTTTGTTGCTTTCTTTCAAATACTCTGTTTTGAATGATCCTTTAGGGGTTTTAGACACCTGGAATTACTCCGATGAGTCGCCATGTTCATGGAAAGGTGTCCGCTGTGGGAATGTCGGCGATTCCTCCGCTGACCACCGTGTCACCGGATTGTCGCTTCCTAATTCGAAACTTACTGCTTCAATTCCCGCCAATCTCGGATTGATTCAGTACTTAAGGGAGCTTGATTTGTCGAATAATTCGATCAATGGGTCTATTCCTTTGTCGTTGTATAATGCTTCGGAGCTTACGTTTCTTGATTTTTCGAATAATTTGATCTCCGGCGAGCTTCGGGAGTTTGTTAGAGGGTGGGTGGGGTTGCAGTTTCTTAACGGTTCGGGGAATTCGTTGACGGGGGAGTTGCCGGAGAGCCTTGGTGGTCTTCGGAACTTGACGGTGGTTTCATTGAAGAATAATTATCTTCATGGGAAGATTCCGAATGGGTATGATTCGTTGAAATTTCTAGATCTGTCTGCGAATTTCATCAATGGGTCATTACCTAAAGATTTTGGGAGTAATGATCTTGTTTACTTTAACGTTTCTCACAACAATATCTCCGGAGAGATTCCGCCGGAATTCGCGAACAAAATTCCGACGAATGCAACCGTTGATTTATCGTTCAACAATCTTACCGGATCAATTCCGGAATCCAGTGTTTTCTTCAATCAAAACGAAAGATCCTTCGCCGGAAATTCAGAGCTTTGTGGGAAGCCATTAGACAATTTATGTTTAATCCCTTCCTCCGCTTCCACACTCCCCAACATCTCCTCACCAACATCACCTCCGGCGATAGCCGCCATACCCAAAACCGCAGACTCATCTCGTTCAAACAATTCACCAAACACCTCAAATGCGTCTTCAAGAACCGGTTTCAAAACCAGCACAATCGTCGGAATCGTTGTCGGAGACATCGCCGGGATAGCAATATTAGCCGCGATTTTCATCTACATATTGAAAAAACGCAAAAGGGTAGCATCAGAGAGCAATAAAAAACACGGCAACGTCGGCAACAAAGAATACGACTGGGCGTCGTCGTCGGAAGATCAAGAACACAAATGGTTACGTTCATGGCCATGCTTAACGAAGACAAGAGTCACAGAAGACGAAGAATCATCAAACGAAAGTTCAACCTCCGAAAGCGAGGACAACGAAGTGTCGCCGGCGACAGCCCAGAAAAGCAAACACGAGAATTCAATGAGAAAAGAAGTCGAGACTAAAGGCGAGCTAGTGACGGTTGACGGCGGCGATAAGGAGTTAGAGCTTGAGACACTGTTGAAGGCGTCGGCGTATATACTCGGCGCATCCGGGTCGAGTATTATATACAAGGCGGTGCTGGAGGACGGGACGGCGTTGGCCGTTCGCCGGATCGGCGAAAGCGGTTTGGAGCGGTTCAGGGATTTCGAAAACCAGGTCCGGGTCATTGCCAAATTGGTTCACCCGAATTTGGTTCGGATCCGTGGGTTTTATTGGGGTTCGGATGAAAAGCTTGTGATCTACGACTACGTTCCTCATGGTAGCTTAGCAAATGCACGTTATCGTAAGTCTTCTAATTTTTTTTAATCTTTTGTAGTTTATAAATTTTTAATTAAAATTCTATAAAAAAAATAACAAAAGTTTGACTTAGGGCTTAAGAGACTGGGTCTAATTCTTTAGTCAGATAGAGCTGACTGATTTATACAATTTGATATACTTTGTTAATCTGATTTAATAAACAATTATCAAATGTTTAATTATATAAAAATATAATATTAAAAAAAAAATATTTTGAACATTTTTCAGATAAAATATTATGTATTTTATGGGGATAAGCATGAAATGTTATTTGTATAAAAGATATAACATTTTAATCACTTTTTCAAAATATAAAACATAGTAGAAGAATAAGTTTAGATTGTAAAGAAAAAAATTAGGTACTATAGAAATTGGTAAATATTTATGCAATTAATCCAAGTTATAAAAATGTTATTTTTTTTTTTTTGCCAAAACCTTATTAGTAGAATTCTTAAGAATGAGGTTGGCATTTCTAAATATCTTTTAATTAACATTTTATAAAGTTCATGTAACTATAAAAAAATAGTATTACTTGTTATTTTTCTTTTTGGTGCAAGTGTAGGAATATATAAAATTAGGGGTTAGTCTTATGACGTGCATGTTAGCATCCAAGAACATGCACATTAGCATATAGCCATATAGGCTTTTGGCAAAAGGGGAAAAGTAGACAGTTGGATCCGAGGTTAGATTTTGTTAAGATATTGATTAAATAGTGTATTATATGCTAAAAGTAATGTCTTTTATGCTTTCTATTATTTGACATTACTTTTGTCAAATTTCACAAAAAGATGGGATAATATTCACTTAAAATATAATAATATTATATGATGTTTATTAGGTTATTTAACTTAATGATACTTGATCGTTTGTGGACCATATTGTAGTGTACATAAATAATGTTGTTATAGTGAGAACCTAGTCTTATAATAATAATAATAATAATAATAATATTTAGAAATAATTTGTTTCCGATAGCTACTATGCCTAACCACAATTTCTACTAGCATTTAATAAAAACGAATGCATTTTTTTAGAATGATGAGATCAACATGTATATGCAAATGTACATGCGTAGGCTAGCAATTAGATATTGTGGTTGACTAAGGTGAGCTGACGGTGGATGGGTGGAGTAGTTGTAACAGACGCCTTTGTTATATAAATGCACCGAGTGGTACACAACAAGTCAACTGTCACGTAGCGCTTAACTCTTACCCCATGGCGTATTGTAGCAATTGACGTGTCCTAAAGATCTTTATATAGAGTATCAAAATTGCACTTCAAAGTGGTCACTATATTGAAAATGACACATCTCCCCCTTGTCTTTTATCTATTTAAATGTAAACCTTTTCATAATCATCACTTCACCATTATGCAGGAAAAGTTGGATCTTCACCTTGTCCTTTACCTTGGGATGTGAGGCTCAAGATAGCGAAAGGCACGGCTCGTGGGCTAATGTATATCCATGACAAAAAACAAGTACACGGGAATCTCAAACCGAGTAACATTTTGTTAGGCTTGGATATGGAGCCTAAAATAGGAGATTTCGGGCTTGAAAGGTTAGTGGTAGGCGAAAACAGTTGCAAGGTTGGAAGCTCATCTCGGAATTTTGGTAGCAAACGATCTACCGCATCCCGAGACAGCTTCCAGGATGTAACTGTTGGGTCAAACCCTAGCCCAAGCCCTAGTGCAATTGGATGCATATCACCCTATTATGCCCCTGAATCACTAAGAAGTTTGAAACCTACTGCTAAGTGGGACGTGTTCTCATATGGTATGGTGTTGCTAGAACTACTAACGGGTAAGGTCATTGCTTCTGACGAATTTGGGCCCGCTAGTATGACGTGGAGTCCCACATTAACTGATGAAGAGAAAATTAAGGTGTTAAGAATGGTTGATGTGGCTATTCGTGGGGATATGGAAGGGAAAGAGGAGTCTTTGTTGGCAATCTTGAGATTAGGTTATAACTGTATATCTCCAATACCACAGAAAAGACCGCACATGAAAGAGGTCCTTCATGCACTTGACAAGTTTCCTTCGGTTTCTTCGTATTATTTCGGTCATATATAAATTATTAGGGAGAAATAAAAAAAATGTAATTTTCTAGAGAGATGTGTATTTATGATGAAAGTGAAAGGTAGGTGTTTGTACGTTTATTTAAAGATAGTGTTGATTGCAAATTTGCAATGTGTTTAGAAGTAGAATTTCTTGTCTCTCATTTGTTATTAATTTAACACCAAGTTTCACCAAAATCTCTCATTTGGGTCCTACTAAATTTTTTAATGTGAAAAGACCGGTACAATTATTTTTGTTAGAAAAAACTCAAAAAAATTTATTTTAAAAAAATTGATATTGTCTTCCATTTAGATTTATGTTCAAACATTGTTATAAAATTAACAACATGGAGGTTTCTTTTTAACTTTTCTTTTTTAATTGGAATGATTTTTTAAAATTTATTTTGTTGCACATTTCATCCTTACCAAAATATAAAAGGATTTTTTTAGGTTATCGATTTTTAATATTTTTAAATTTATATTTTAAGTAAATAAGGTGGGTCCTATCTAGGGATGAGCAACAGGCCGAACCCGGACCGGACCGGCCCGAAGACCGAAAACCCGAAGATGAATATAACAGTACACTGCGGGACTCTAATTAGAACACGTGCAAATGAGGTGTATGCAAACAAATACAAACGTTATTAAAAAACTACACTATTTTTATAAAAAAAACTGCACTATTTTTATGTAAAAAATCTGCACTTAAAAAAATTTGTACTAGGAAATAACTTTTGGTTTTTTAAGAAAAAAAATCAAACCATAATGCGATCAAGAGAAGAAGCCGAAACCAAAAAAAATTGACAATATAATGTGATCCACAGGAGAGACCGAATCAATTCAATCGAGACAACATTTTTTTTATTTTGGTAATTTTTGCTTACTGTGTGTCGATAAAAAAAATAATAATAACTTTTGGTTTTCCGGTCCGGTCCGGGTTAAATCTTTTAATTCGGGTACGGTCCGGTCCAAACCCGAAACCCGATTATTGATAAAAACCAAACCCAAAAACCGGCCAACTAATATGATAATCCGGTTCGGTCCGGGTCCGGTCCCGGTTTTTTTCCGGTCCGTTCCGATCCCACGGGTCGTATGCTCATCCCTAGTCCTATCCCTCCCTTCCCTAACATTTCATTCTTATTTTTTAATATTTTTAAAATATAAAAGGATTTTTTTTATGTTATCGATTTCTTTTTAGTCGAACCCTAAACCATCTAATCACCATCATCGGTGATAATTTATCCTAAAATTAATGTTACTAATTTCTACGTTTATATGATTATTTGATAGATAGTAATAAAGATTATATTAGTTTGCCGTTTAAAACTATATATATATATATATATATATATATATATATATATATATATATATATATATATATATATATATAATATATATATTCTTAAAAAATTTATTTAAATAGCAAGTCAATGTAGTTGGCATTTTATGAAAACAAACCTAAACAAAACCAAGACCAATGGACTATTGGGAGCACCAAAAGTTGGTAATCCTACAAATAATAATAAAAATACTCTTTTAAACTGATTCTATTAAATCTCTTTGTATGCAAGAAAAATAAAAACTTTATTTTTACAAACTAAAATTCCCATATATAATAGTAATAAAAAAATGGGCATTAACTGTAACATGAAATTTACCATACAAGAATCATTTGTGGGCCATTTGAACTTAACATAAAAGGGACAATATTCATCAATGTCAACCTAACACATATCTTAAAATAAATTCGTTTTAAATGTTCACATTCTATTTTCAAATTCAAAAGTAATATTGCTGTTCTTTCATTTTTTTATCTATTAAAAATCTCTCTATATAATAACATTTCAATATCTTTTTTATCCTTTTGAATTTATATAATGGGATATTTGTTATCTTGACTAATTTACGTGGTTTATTGAAAGTGACCCCTTTAAATGGCTTAGTTGAAATGTATGTTATTAGGCCAATACACATGACCCATTAAGGAGTTAATAACATCCGGTGATCTCATGCCATGAAAAAAAAAAACATCAATTGAATAAACGATCACAAAAGAACAGAAAACATAATTCCAATATTGACATTTTAATATAAAATTGAATTCTTTTTTAAAGTAAAAAAAATTGAGATATTTGGGAGAACATAAACTTAAACTTCACACGTGAATCGATCAGAACAAGATTTTAATCAATTATTTTATGAAAGATAATTTAAAAATAAAAGAAAAAAATCAACGAATTTGTATATATGGAAAATGTCGTTTTGAGTAGGGTTATTCACTATTTGAATAAAACCGAATTGTCCAGTTGGATAATTTATATCACACTATTTGGTTCGGATATTTGGATTTTTGGATTGGTTTTCAGCGAAAGCAAATTATTATTTTGGATTGCGGATTGGTCAGGGGCGGATCTTTCATAGGGCTAGGGGGGATGTGGCCCCCCTGATTTTTTTGGCACAAATAGTCCCTATGCTTTAACTTTATACATATTTAGTCCAAAAATATAAAATTTTGACTATGGCCCACCCTGTTCAACAATATTTATACAAATTATATTTTCGGCCCTCCAAAATGAACTATTGAAGCTTCGTCACTGGGATTGGTTTTGGTTTAAAAAATAAAAATTGAATAGTCTGAAAAAACGGAAGAACATTTTATTATTTTGTCATTTTTAATATAAATCTTTAATAATTTATATATTTTATAAAATTATTTTTTAGTAGATTAAAATTGTTCATCTATTATAATACTTTAATATGTATTTCTTATCAAAAGTTTTTGGTCCATAAAATAGTAAGCTATATTATATTTTTTATGGTAGTTGTTTACAAATTTCATTCACCAGTAATTAAACAATTTTCTATAGTTTCTATTCTAGAGTTGGTTAATACTAAAGTTATATATTTATTAAAATGTCTTGATTCTGGAAAACCGAATTGTAAAAACCGATCCAACCAAATTATAATTTGGTTGGATCATATCGTATTTGAATTTAGTTTGTATTATTTGGATCCACATTTTGAAAACCGAAATCAATTTGGATTCACTTGATCGAATCAGATCGTACCAATCCATCCAAACGAACACTCTTAGTTTTGAGCGCCTAAGCAATCTTCAATAACTGAAAAACGCCATGTGGCATGTGTTTGTTAATTTTCCCGTTACCCAAAAACTGTCGCAGATTTCAGAAAAATCAAAGAATACAAAATCATATTGGCAAATATGGGGATGATTTATGAAACTTTCAATCCTTATAGTGAGAACATCGTCATGAATTGTACTCCATGTATCGCTATCCCCCCCCCCCCCCTCTTGATAAGGAATGACCATGAGTGTGTATCTTTTTCATAATCTCAAAGTAAGTTGACACATGAAATAACCTAACAACTCAATCTTGTAAGCATTGCAGTTGATCTTCTTCAAACCACAAAAAATGATTATCTCCCCTCGGTTGAAGCTTTCTTAAATGTTGGTTGAGAAATCTCTCTTTTCTCAAATGAATCCACATGATATTAACTTCATAATAAACAATTTGTTTGCGTCATTTTCCCAAAATCACTTTAGTTTCATCAAAAATCACTTCAGTATCACATCACAATAAACTCTTTTTTTCATCGGAAATCACTTCAATTTTGATATTGCCTTATACAAATATTTTTGACAATATCTTAAAAAAATAGGTTATTAATTGATATATTTAAAGATAAATGATATTAATAATGCTTTGAATTGGATAAATATAGATATAGTTATGAGTTCAAGGATTTGCACGGACAAGGTTTGAAAACTCAAACCTTGAGATAAAAACACGAAAATAGTTGTTGATAATGATTCCAGTTAAGTCTGGATGAACCAGTCAAGCCTTGAAGATAATAACTCAACAAAGTGCTCAAGATAATAAAGTAAATTATGAACAATGAACAAGAACAAGAAGAATGTTAGAGAAACATGATTGACTGAATGATTCTTAAATTGACACTCAAAATGTGAAAAGTGATAAGGTATTACATGGGGAATGGTCCTGTAAATACTAACACTGGACCAATCATGGTAGAAGACATTTGTAATAAAAGTTGATAACATATCAACCACCTGACACATCGGTGTGGTTGACCTTTGTCTCCTACATGCGCTACTAAAAAAAGATAAATTACATGAAGAAAAAATAGTAATCACATAAAATCAACCAGTCTACAAACTTCGGAATACAAACAACTTCAGACAAGTAAAAATATCGAATTTCTTCACTCTACATCTCATCGGAAACAATTTTTGGCTCATATTATAGAATTTCGGATTGCGAAGGGATCACTTGTTTTGAACTAAGAATCACTTAGCTTTTATACTTAAACTCCAAAGACGAACAAATATGTAGTTTGCAGCCAATTTCTAAACTCAATCCACTACTGAGCTGTTTGATCAACTGTTCCATGATTTGTTCGGAAGCATCAAATTTTGTTGTTTTGGCAATGATTTTTTGAAGCACACTGGTATGAACAAAGTATTTTGTTTAACCCTGAAGAATTCCTTCTTTTATGAGTTCTTCCTCTTGTAGATATCTCCAAGGTCAGGTTCTGAAATAGGACCTTTATTTAGCAGATCAATCTCTTCCAACTCTGTGTCAAGTGGAGCAAGGAGCTTCTCTGTCTTGATCAAGGGAGCAAATTCAACATCTGAGCGACCAAATTCAGCAATATAATCCTTTAGAAAGTTTAGTATTGCAATATAGGCTCCAGTGCTTATTTAACTGTCTTGTTTGTCTTTGAGATGAGCTGCAATCATAAGTACATTATTTGGGTTGATTATTGGTAAATCAATATTCGAGATTATGAGCTTCTTATGGGAGTTCCAAATTATGTAGTAGTTGTGGAGAAGGCAGTTTTTTTTCCGATCTTACTTAGCACTTTCATTCCACAACCACTGATTTGTATGATTCTTCGTTTTAACCACACTTGATTTTTAGGAAGAGCATTGGTGGCATAGAAAGTACTTAAACATTCTCTTTATATTCGGATGAGAATCTCCTGATCATCGTTCGAATGCAACAGAGTGAACTTAACATAAAACCATGCATAAGGAGATCTTGGAAAATCAAGTTGATTAGAGTCC